CCTGGTGGAAGAGCTCGGTTTTACAGGCCCTGCGGAACTGTAGAAGGTCCCGCAGGGCCCTGATGTCCTCCGGGAGCTTGTTCCATCAGTATGGAGCCGCCACTGAGAAGGCCCTAGATCTGGTGATAGTCAGTCTGGCATCCTTGGGGCCAGGGACAGTCAGACGATTTTGAGTCCCCAACCTCAGTGCTCTCTGGGGAATGTGTGGAGAAAGGGGGTCCCTCAGGTAGGCAGACCCCCGGCCATTCAGCATGGCTGGAGGGTCAAAATGAATATATGAAAAGGTTCTGTTCTTTGGGGAAAGGCCTATGAATCTGGTTTTTTTTAATAAGCCCTAGTATTGAAGCGCCCATATTACTTTTTTATCACAGCTCCCATAACTTACACTGTAACCGATTTCACACAAGAGCTGCGCCACGGTAGCGCTTCCCTTTGCCCCGCTTCTATTGGTCAATTTCCCACTCGAAGCTGTGCGGACGCATTTTGACCCGCGGCTTCGCCCAATTTTCCCCACGTTTTCATGATCCTCAAAAAACAGGAGGAAGGGGGGGGGCACTTGGAGGCACAGATGGCTTTATAGTTAGATTGCACTTTCCATAGTTAAGGCATATATTTATCAAAGAACTATTGCAGTGATGGCAGAGATTTTTTTAGTACCTGCCCAATCATAACGCTTACTGTGATCTTGTGAGATCTTTAAATTTCTTTTTTAAAGCTGCAATGTGATGGTTACACATGCTGGAGTTGCTAAATCTGAGTTAGGACATTCTTGGAGATTTATGGGCGGAGCCTAGGGAAGGCAGAGTCTGGGGAGGGGAGGGACCTCAGCTGAATATATTGCCATACAGTCCACCCTCCAAAGTAGCCATTTTCTCCAGGAAAGGGTCTTCTACAGTCTGGAGGTCAGTTGTAATCCCAGGAGATCTCCAAGCCCCACCTGGAGGTTGGGAACCCTAAAACACAACCTCCACTTTTCTGGTTTTGGGATTTAATTTTTTTGAAACTTTTAATATTTTTCTGCAAACCTGGGTCTTCACACAGCTTTACAGAAAATTCCCTTCTACCTGCACGTTACCTCATTTTGCCATTTTTTTGATCTGCACACTGGAGCCGTGTTCAGAATTAGATGAAGATGCCAACTGAAGATCATGTGCATGTCATTCTATGGCTGGCCCAAAGCCTTTTAACAGAAAGCAACCCCCCACCTGCTCCATCAGTGATTAACAAGGCCTCTACAAGCAACTCAGCAGCTCTGTCCAGCGACTGCTGTTATCCCTTCCCCACTGCAATCATACTAATTGGCCATTCTATGTGTTTAAATAATCATGAACACAAGGTCAATTTCCCTTTTGCCTTTTAACAAAATGTTGCTATTGGCAAACAGAGCAACATCTAACGGTACTGAGCATCTGCAGTATGTATCAGCTGTACAAAAAAGGTATACTTGTTTACCTAAGGGATAGCAGAGAGATGTAGGCGTTTTGGAGACTAGGCAAAGAATCACAGAGTTTATTTTCATCAACTTATATTTTCTCACCGATTCTGTGCACTGCACTGATTACAATTACTGTACAGGCTGAGTTTTACTGTCATTAGACAATGAGTTCTAATTCCATACTGAATGGTTTAACACTTTTTAGTGCGGTGTCACTATTGGCTCAGTCTGTTGTTGTTTCCAGATGGAAAGGTGTACACATAAGAGAATTTCTACACATTTCCAAATTCATTTTCTGAACACAGGCATAAAAAAGAACTGTTGGATACAACTGGGAGCTTGAAAGTAGGTAAGGGCAAAAAAAAATCACATTCCCATCACAACTGATGGGTTTCGCAGGCAAAAGAAAATGGAACTATTGAATGAGAATAGCCCAACACACTCATTTCCCCTCTGAATTTCCAGATGATATGACTATTAAGACTCTTTGGACAGGTAGCCTTCAAGATATTAAGGAGCAGTTGCGGAGGATACTTTTTCATTTAGGATATAGACTGGTCTTCAGCCTGACAACCCTGGGAGGGAATGTGGCATGATACAGTTCAATCTTGTCAGACCCAGGGGTCATTTTGGGGGGGGATGCGGGGGGACGCCATCCCCCCGGGTGAGGTGTGGGAGGGCGGGGCCTGGAGCTCCCTGCTGGTGCCCGCTGGAGGTCGCCGCCGGCTGTGGGGAGGACACACTTCCGGTGATGTCAGGGGGTGTGGCATATGCTAATGAGTCCCCCTAGCTCTTTTTCTACGAAATGACCCCTGGTCAGACCTGATCCCATCGGTACTTGGATGAGAGACCAAAAAGGAAGACTCTGTAGAAAAAGCCAAGGCAAACCACCTCTGTTTCTCACTTGCCTTGAAAGCCCCTTGGTGTGGTCACCATAAGTCAGCTGTGACTTGACAGTACTCATGTATGTATGCAGCTTGACATACAGAGTATGTGTATGTTGTTCTCCAGACATGCTGCTGGACTCTGGGACCAGACCCTCCACTGCCACTGTGGGAGATGCAACTCCTAGCAGCCCCACCTCCACCTCCACCAACAGAGAGCCCAGTGGCTATTTGGGCTACAACACAGGGCCCAGTTTCAGGCACAGGGGGAAGAACTAGTTGGGACTCAACATTGGAGCAGCCTAAGAAAGACAAGGCAGAAACCAGGATGGGGCCAGAGAAGCCTGCACAAGGGCAAGCTAGGGCAGAAACCAAGGCAGGGCCTGTCTTCCTCAGGCATGGCTTGGAGGAGTGTTGAAAATTCCTCTTCTAGAAGAGGGTGGTGGGTGAGTGGGGATGTCTTCCAGCAACTCTTTGGGGAAGGGCTGTGGCTCAGCGGTAAAGCCTCTGCTTGGCATGCAGAAGGTCCCAGGTTCAATCCCTGGGATCTCCAGTTAAAAGGACCAGGCAGTAGATGACGTGAAAGACCTCTGCCTGAGACCCTGGAGAGGCACTGCCAGTCTGAGTAGACAATACTGACAAACAGTCTGATTCAGTATATAGCAGTTTCATGTGTGTTCATGTATGTTGTTCAAGTAAGCCCAATAGAAGACAGGGGAAAGCAGGGGTGGGGACTGAAAGCTGGCACAGACAGTGGGGTAGGAGGGAGAGCAGCTAGGAGGAGGAGCCATCCACGAGCCCAGTAGGAGGGATGGGGAGAGCTGAATCACTGCCCTCCCTTAGGGAGAGCCCAGGTATGCCCAGGGAAGAAGCAGTGCTATTTGGACTTTTAAAGACAGGTTCTTGATGAAAGGGCAAGGAGGAGGCAGAGCACAGGTCTGGGTTAGAGAGAGAGAGTGAGAGTGCTGTTGACCAGAGGAATGGCGATGGAACAAAGTGGAACCAACCCCCTTCCTGTCCCCTTTCTGAGGCCCGGGGAGACTCACCCTCATTGTGCAGCAAGATGGTCAAGGGCCAGACTATGGAGTCGGAGAGGGAGAAGCCTCAGAGTTGTCAAAAGCCATTTCCCCCTCCTTATAGTCTTATCCTCTGTTAACATTAATGCCCACTGGACAAAGGAAGGATGAGCCTTAATGGGAGGCCAGTGAGTAAGAGTGGGACAAGGAGCTATCCCATGAAATTGGCTTCCCAAGCTCAACACTCTTTGGTCATATACAGTATGCCAACCATGTATTGTGCATCCTTCCAAATTGTTGCTATCAGGTGGCTGCTTGTGTGTCATCTGAGACCTGTACATTTGGCAAGCATGCCAAAAGAAACATAGACAAGTGGTGCCCATTAGTCACATTAAGGAGAGATGTGTAAGGGGTACATCAGCGGTCAGATAACCACTACCAGTATTCTGGATTCGAGGCAAGGAATAAAATGTTCTAACATCCAACCTACTTTTATTTTCTTTATTCTGAGCGGAGAAACATCTGATCAGCCCAACATCACATAATGTTTCCAAGAATCCTTAGCAAGGCAGAAGTGAAAAAAGTCAGGATGAATTTCCAATCTGTCTAGATTCAAACTTGCCACCAGAGATGCTCACATCACAGCAGATGGAGGATGTTAGACCAAAAAGATTATAAGATAATAGGAGAGTAAATACAGGGTAATGGTGGTGGAAAGCACCACTGGCACTTTACATTGATCTGTTTGGCCAGTCACAGAGATAATCCTGTCCTACAGACACAGCATCTCCATCGGACTGTTCCATGCAATGTGTTTAGATTATTTTCTCTACAATACATGATCTATTTAGATTTATTTAGCCAACCTTAACTGTCATCTTCATCTATCTTCATTAAACATAATTTCCAGGGACAACCCTGTGGTATTTACTAATCTGCTAACTAATTGATTAATTGGTTAAGAGCAAGATCAGCTATTTGAGTTGCTAATTATTTAGGGATTTTGCACTGACAAGATGGATCTCATAAGGTATTCCCCTTACTGCAAATGTGCCCTGTTTTAAAAAAATAACAGTAGCCTTTGGTTCCACAATAAACCTGTGCACAGTACAGGTCCAGAATCCAAGTGAGAATTATACCAAAAGATCTGCTAGTATATTGTTCAATCGTGAAACATATTTCTGAGTGTAGTGAGGTACAAGAATGATTCCAAGGACTTATTCCATGCCTGAAACAATCTTCCCCCAACCAAAGGCTAACTCCCATCAATTTTCATCCAGTGTACTGTCAAACTGCTTAGCTCTCTCTCAGACCTAATGTCTCCAAATCAGTTGTAGTCTCTTTCTAAATGTTTTTCTCCTCTACCCGTGGGATAGCTTTCAAGAGAATGATTCTCCTCAGGCAAATTCCCCTGGCAAACTACAGGGCCAAGTATCCATTCTTACTGATGAAGTGCTCCAGACTTTTGGCACGTGCAAAAGAGGATGGCTTGCTTTATCACAAGACAGACTTCTTTGCAATGCCTCAGTGAGCGTTTCTGCATGACAAGCGACAAGCCACTTCTCACAGAGTTCACCTCAGCCTCCTCAATGTATTTTCTGTCTCCTAAATTATCAGTAAGTAAGAGGGCAATTAGGTTTCCGGCAATTAAAATGATTTACTTACCATATGTAACTGCCGGAGCATCTCTACATATCTATGGAAAACAGACAACAGTTTTATTAATTGCCTTCTATGAGGGCTGAATGAATCACTGTGGAATGAGCAAGAAGATAACAGCAAACCAAATTTTCGCTTGCAGACTCACACTTTCTCTGAAGACACAAGTTCCTGGGCGATGAGGTGAGCTCTCGATTGTCCTTCTTTCTGTTAAAAACAAAATGCACAAGAATAAGAACTCCTCCAACTCCTTGGCAGAGAAAGTAAAATAGCAATCCGCACTGTTTGGATTTGCTAATCTAGAGATGTCGAGGTCATCTGGAGGCTAATTTTAGAGATTTGACACATACAACAAATGAACACAACGTCACTCTTGCGCCTTACCGCCACAATGGATACATACTAGCCTAGAATTTGTCAGCTTGGAGAATGCACAAGATCTTTCAGCCATTCAATGGGAAATGTTGGTCATACGTGGCAAATATGTCAAAGAGGGTGACCTCAAGAATGACTACAGAAAGTATAGAGAACTGTATAACTCTGAAAACTGATTTACGTTTTGAAGGAATGCCACAGAAGTCATGTTCTAAAGTTCCTCAGTATGATACTTACTGCAAGGGATTAGTAGAGCAATATCGGATATATCAGCTACTAAAACACAATGGATAAAAGAACCACAAGAGAAGACATGTAGCTCAGTGGTAGAATGCATGCTTTGTGTGCAGAAGGACCCACTGCTACCATTTCCAATTAGGAAAAGGTCTCAGGTAGCAGAGCTAGGAAAGGCCATCTGCCCAAGGCCAATTAGAATAGACAATACAGGCCTCTGTGGACCAGTGATGAGATAAAACATATGGCAGCTTAATGTGTTCATATATGTTAGCTTTATATACAATAGACAGAAAAAGAAGACAGAAAAGGACAGTTTCAGAAAGGATTAGAATCACTTCTTAGACTGTGTTTCTCCAACTAAAAATAAGTAAATTCTTAATTTATGTAATATATTATAGAGCAAATGGCATAAGCTTTTCTATATTGCTTTACTCTGGTTTGTCTTGTATCTTTGCTTGATGCTCCCATAATTTAAATCTGACACTAAAGGCTTTTTTTGTTTTCATGAATATGCATTCATTGTGTAACCTACATTTAAGTAACCAAAATGAAGATATCAACAATAGAGAATACACTTTAAATATCCCAATATTTATCCTTCGCCTCAGAAATAGTGTTCAAATAAGAAAAAATCATCTGCCACACTTCTGTATTATACCCAGGCTCAGATTTTGGCAAACTAAATGTCCCTGCCCTGACATACCATTCTTCATTCCCTAACTGCTCTTATTTGGTATCTAATGGGAGCAGTCAAGAGGTCATCTTTGCTGACCAGTGTGCCAGACGCCAGGAAAGGAGCCAGTCTCATATGCTGGAGGATGTTTAGAAGAAGGAGAAGAGAAGAGATTGGATTTATACCCCGTCCTTCACTACCCAAGGGAGTCTCAGAGCGGCTTACAAACTCCTTTCCCTTCCCCTCCCCACAACAGACACCCTGTGAGGTAGGTGGGGCGGAGAGAGCTCTTGGCAGAAACTGCTCTTTTTTCAAGGACAGTTCTTATCAGAACTACAGCTTGCCCAAGGTCATCCAGCAGGTTTAGGCAAAAACTAGCACCTTGAAATGTGCCCATCCTTACTGCTACTCCCTTTTGACCTGTTATCTGAAGAAGTCCTGAGTTCCCATGGAGGAACAAAGAGTGGCAGTTTTATGGGCCTCTAGACCTTGGCATCACTGGAGGCACACCATGGACTACCAACTTCAGCAAAGGACTGGTATCTTTCAGACCATTATGAATGTCCCTTGAGGTGAACTGTATTTCCAAAATGAGGTGAAATTACCAGACCCCCCCTGCACATCCTAAGAAAAATTCAGAAAAACTGAATTTTTGACCTGTGTCTAGTGTGTCCTCTGAGGGTTCTTGATTGACCTAGAAATTTACTAGTAAAAGTCAGAAATGCATTACAAGGCTTGTTTTAGATACCTGGTTGGCTTTTAAATCTATCAGTAAATGTCAAAATTTCTTTCTTTCTTTTGCAAATTTATTTTCATTTCACATCCAATTCATACATATATACTTCAACTTTTGAGTTGTACATATCTTCCAAATAAAAGTCCGTCTATTGCTTTCAGTCTATTAGTTTCCTACTAGCATTTACTACTTATTGATCTATCTACTTGTGTTGTAGCCAGTCATATACTAGCTTCCATCTTTTCCAAAAAAATCTTCTGATTTATTATTCAGTGCTAAACTCAGTTTGTCCATTTCTGCGATCTCCATAATCTTGAATTTCAGTTCTTTTATCGATGGGATGGCTTTCAACTTCCAACGTCTGGCTATCAGGATTCTTGCTGCTGTTAACGTGTATACTATTATTTGTTTGTGGTCTTTTATACTATCCGGAATCATGTTGAGTAAATATGTTTCAGGGGTTAGAGGGATATTTATTTTAAATTTTACTAAGAAGATTTTATGAATTTTTTTCCAGAATGCTTGTATCTTATCACACCTCCACCATATGTGTAAGTATGATCCCACATTACATCCACATCTCCAACATAGATTAGAGGCATTTGGAAAGCATTTCGCCACTTTTTTCGGCGTCCAATGCCATCTATAGAACATTTTGTAAATGTTTTCTTTATATGTTGTCGCTCTCATGTATTTTATTGAGCTCCAAGTTTTCTGCCATTGTTCAGCTTCTAGTGTGTATCCTAACTCTTTTATCCATGCTTCCATGGTAGTTTTTTTAATTTCTTCTTGGAGCTCCTCCTCTAATAGCTTATTATAAATTTTCTGAATTAAGTTGTCACTGGGTGAGAGCCAAATTTTGTCTATTTCATTAATAGTCGTATAGAATCCTATTTTCTTGTCTAACATATATCTTGATTTAATTATATTTATTTCCCACCATGACAGTTGTGTGTTTTGTTTTCTTATCAGTTCCTCTGTTTTTAACTCTGCTGATTTATTTAATAACTCGCCATATGTTTTTCTATTTCCTTCTGTTACCAATGTCGGTTTAATAAAAGCCTCTAGAGGGGATATCCATAATGGGGTTTTGATATAGAATTTGGATTTAATTATATTCCATATTTTCATCAAGGCACTTCTTATAATATTTGTATGGAAGCAGGCATGTATTTTGTCCTTTCCATACCACATGTATGCATGCCATCCCATTGGCAGGTCCGCACTTTCTAACTCTAAAGGATATTCATTTTAATTGTCGCTACTCTTCCCAGTAGCGAGATATGTTTACTCTCCCATTGTTTTAGGTCTTTTTTGATTTCGTTTAATAATTTTATATAGTTACTTTCATATAGCATTGAGATATTGTCTGAAATCCATATTCCTAAGTACTTAGCTCTTTGCACTATTTCCATTTTTGTCGTTTCTTTTATTTTTTTCTATCGTCTCATTGGGACAATTTTTGGCTATGATTTTGGTTTTGTGCAGATTTATTTTGAATCCCGCTAATTTTCCAAATTCCCGAATTTCTTTTATCAATGTTGGTATTGATTGCTCTGGATATAATCAAAATTTCTGATATAACCTGATATATCCTGCAGGCCTCTTAAAAACCATACTATTAAGAACATAAGAGAAGACAATGTTGGATCAGGCCAATGGCCCATCCAGTCCAACATTCTCTCACACACTGGCCAAAAATACCAGGTGCCACCAGGAGCTCCACCAGTGGGGCCAGGACACTAGAAGCCCTCCCACTGTTGCCCCCCCCCCAAGCACCAAGAACACAGAGCATCACTTGTCCCAGACTGAGACAAGTGATACCGTTGATACCGGGTAAATTGGTGGAAACCATTATTAAGGAAAGAATTAGTAGGCACATAGATGAACAAAACCTATTGAGGCAGACTCAGCATGGGTTCTGTAAGGGAAGATCTTGTCTCACTAACCTGTTAATGTTCTTTGAGGGGGTGAACAAACATGTGGACAAGGGGGATCCAATAGATATTATTTACCTTGACTTCCAGAAAGCTTTTGATAAAGTTCCTCATCAAAGGCTCCTAAGCAAGCTCAAAAATCATGGGATAAAAGGACAAGTCCTTTTATGGATCAAAAACTGGCTAATTAATAGAAAACAGAGAGTGAGTATAAATGGGCAGTTCTCCCAGTGGAGGGGGGTAAGCAGTGGGGTACCACAGGGATCAGTACTTGGTCCACTGCTTTTTAACTTGTTCATTAATGATTTGGAGTTGGGAGTAAGCAGTGAAGTGGCTAAATCTGCGGATGATACGAAGTTGTTCAGGGTGGTGAAAACCAGTGAGGATTGTGAGGCACTCCAAAGGGATCTGTCAAAGATGGGCAAGTGGGCGTCAACATGGCAAATGGGGTTCAATGTGGCCAAGTGCAAGGTGATGCACATTGGAGCCAAAAATCCTAAATATAAATACACATTGATGGGGTCTGAACTGGCAGAGACAGATCAAGAGAGAGATCTTGGAGTTGTAGTAGATAACTCACTGAAAATGTCGAGACAGTGTGTGACTGCAATAAAGAAGGCCAATGCTATGCTGGGGATTATTAGGAAGGGTATTGTAAACAGATCAGCCAATATCATAATGCCCCTATATAAATCAATGGTGAGACCTCATTTGGAATACTGTGTGCAGTTCTGGGCACCACACCTTAAAAAGGATATTATAGCTTTGGAAAAAGTGCAGAAAAGGGCAACTCGAATGATAAAAGGGTTGGAACACTTTCCCTATGAGGAAAGGTTAAAGCGCTTAGGGCTCTTTAGCTTGGAGAAAAGACGACTGAGGGGTGACATGATCGAGGTTTATAAGATTATGCATGGGAAAGAGCAGGTAGAGAAAGAGGTACCAAAAGGGAATTAGATAGGCATATGGAGCAGAAGTCCATCAGTGGCTATTAGCCACAAGGTATAGATAGGGACTCTGGGACAAATGATGCTCTGTCATCTTGGTGCTTGGGGGGGGGGTCAACAGTGGGAGGGCTTCTAATGTCCTGGCCCCACTGGTGGACCTCCTGATGGCACTGGTATTTCTGGCCACTGTGTGATACAGTGTTGGACTGGATGGGCCTTTGACCTGATCCAACACTGGCATCTCTTATGTTCTTATGAGAGTTCCTATCTATACCCTGTGGCTAATAGCCACTGATGGACCTCTG